GTGTTGCTGAAAGTACGTACATCCGCTGGCAACACGGTTGCAGCGCTCAGTTTTTCTGTGTGATTTCGTTCCCGTAATTACCGAAATGGCCGAATCATGTGCTTCGCTGCTTTCCTCACCGAGTCGCTTCAGAACGTCTTTTCGCAAAGGCACGTTTGGGCGTCAGGTGCGAGAGGTCGTGATGAATGTCTACTTTCGAATTCGGCAGGAGACTCCGGCCGCGTCGTACCGCGAATGCCTTGTAAACAAGGAAAGCGTCCGGGCCACTACAATTCACTGATACGCGGCAAACTCATGGCACCTCTTTAAATGCCGATCACATGGAACGCCGAGAAGCTGGTGGAAAAGACTGCGCCTCGAGCCCTGGTATGTCCGGACAATGCAAGGAAACACCAACGGCTTGGTCATCGGGCACCCTGCAACCTGTACTTTACATCTCGAAACTATGCCGAACAGGTGGAAAGCTCGGACACAGACGGCAGCGGCCAGCCTACGCACTGACATCCCCTGTGACTAAATTTCAGAACGTGAAAGGGCACTTTTTAAACCTGTAGCAGTCGATACCGTTGATACATCCGTAGCAGACGAAATACTCGGCGAGCGCGGGCGGCAAGGAGGACCAGCGGCGCAGCGGAGTGATACAAAAATGCAGGCGAGATCGCCTGACCTATTGCCGGTGTCTGATTGGCTCCGGCCTCACGTAGCTGCGCTCGGACGGAAGCTGAAACGAAGATAGGAGGTGATTTCTGGTGGGGTGGGGGAAAGTGTTAACCTGTAGTGCACGGAGAATTCTTTCCTGTTCTAGGTAGTGATTTGTGTGCAGGAGGGTATGTTCTACGGGTTAGCCTGTAATGCTGCGTGGTCTCTTGGTAGGAGACGGAGGGTGCAGGCGCTCAGGTTCGGATTTCTCGGCGTCGGCTCGAACGAAGCGAACGGGAGAGGGTATGAGAATCAGTGACGTCCATGTTTGGTCGGCCGGATTCAATCGCGCACTTCTTTTCCAAAAACACGGCCATCCGTTAGAGATATCGCTGCGTGAGTGATGTTTTGGGCGGTTTTGCAGCGTCCCGCCTATCGCCCCAGCCTTGTTTTGTGATCTCCAAATTTCGGTTCTGTAGCCCTTTAAAAAGTTCAAATGTTTAAAAAGTTGAAAGTCCATATTGTTTTTAGTGATTTAACAGATTTATGAAACAATCTGCTGTATAAAAGTATAATTTATTCTAGCTATAGCGATTTAAATAAAATTAATCTGATTTAAATAAAATAATTATATATATATATTTTTTTTTTACTTTGCTATCTAGTTAGTATCCACCTATCATCACTTTTGTCTGCTCATATATTGGGGGAAAATGTGACTGGTGCAGAGACTACGCGCCCATACTGAGGGCGGCGACAGCCGCGTGTAGGCGGTTGCTGAGAGTAAAAGCGGGTTTGAAGTGCGGAGGAGGAGCAGGCTGAGGCAGATAGCAGTGACTACCGTAATATCCCGAGTCATCGCCCGGATTTAATAAAAAGAAGTGGGGTGGACCATGTCTCCGTGGGTGAGCACACAGAGTTTAGAAAAGGCTAAAAAACGCCCTTTTGTATGTATCGAGCGCGGCTGTACAGAGATAGAATGAACTAGAAACTGGAATGAGTTTCGTTGTTTTATACAAGCAATGCTCATGAAAGAACGTTTTACTATGGCGAAGTCAGTTGCTTGGCATACGCGCAATGAGCAAGCAGCGCCGATCGGCGTACAGCGCGAACGCTTGTTCCGTGAAAGCTTGTTTCCAAAACCGCCTGTTTTCGCTTCGTTAGGCTCCCAGCCTTTGCTGAACTATAGGTTAAAAAATGAATGCAGTAAAAAAAAAAAAAAAGAAAGATCAACCAGGCGCAACGAGCGAGCGAGCGAGCGGACAAAAGAAGGGACGAAGAATGATGCTGGGGAAGCAGGAAAACCTGCGATTGCATTGGCAAATACTTTGGCCGTCGGGCCAAATAAACAAAATAATGTGTTTTTCCCTCCTTCGTTTTACTTCGTCACCGACGTCCTCCAACCGTAAGGTCCGCGGCCGCGTCGTTCGGATAGGGCGAATTTTCATGTGTCGCGGACTCAGCGTTGGAATATTTGTGGAAATAAGCGATCTCGTAATGCTTTTCCTTTTTTTTTTTTTTTTTTTGTAAATTGATATTTACTTAAAAAGTGGGGTGGGCGTTGATTCGGGATATTACATTACTACCGCTGTCTCATCTGCATGCTATCTTTCGTTGATATTTTAATTTCTTGTGGCATTGAGACAGTGCCACTAACATCTTTTAGTCAGGGCTTTTTTATTTGATTTTTTTTTTTTTAGTTTGCATTGTTTACAACTGTATGCATAAAAAAATTTAACGATGCTTTCGTGGAAAGGCAGACGTGGGTTAGTTTTCAGTTTTTGTGCACGCACCAGGGCAATATCGCACTTGATTACTGGTCATTGGTTGAATCGGACCCATCCCTTGCAGCAGCCGCGGAAGTTAAAAATTGCTGGCTCTATTTCAACCTTTCGACCAAACTGTCATGTCTAGAATTACTACGTGTGAAAAAAGGTGGGTTTCTGTGATTTCTTTTATTGGCGCACTCTGATGAATCACATGACGTCACAATTTCAAAACACGCCATGTAACGTGGTGCCACTTGACCCCGTGATGTGACGTCTCAACGTGGTGAATGTGTCAAGTCGCAGCACATAATATATATATATATATATATATATATATATATATATATATATATATATATATATATATATATATATACACATATATATATATATATATATATATATATATTTAATGGGAACGAGTGAAGATTGACAAGTGCAGCCGTAGTAACATTGTGAACGAAGAGGGAAGAAGGTGATTATTGAATTTATTGCATTAAAGGTAGGGAAAGTGAAAGAGAGCTGGCAAACAATTGGGCCAGGAGCGCTCTTGGCCCAATTTTTCGCCAGCTCTCTTTCCTTTTCCCTACCTTTAATGCAATAAATTCAGTAATCACCTCCTCCCCTCTTCGTTTGCTATATATATATATTTATTTTATTACTTTGTAACACCTATTTTATGCAGACGCATACTTTTGAAACATAAAAGTTAAAAAGGGCGTACTAAAATATGACATTTTAGTTCCGTCAAATAATTAAAATGCAAGAGAGGTTCATGTTCGTCCGGCTACGACGCCCTGACATTGTAGTTGGATGAGTATGGACTACCAGACCTTTTGGCTGGGACTCCAAGCATACAAAAAAGAAACACGAGTTTACGAGCTGCATATGTGAGTGCGCTGTTGGTTCTGAAACTTTACAAACCGTGGCGCCACAGGGTCGCGCTGGCTGTCGAGGCACTCCTTTTGTTTTTGGAATCATGACCGCACTAATTTTTCCTGACAGGGGCTCGTTTCTTCTACTTTCTTGTGACTTGTGCGTTTGAGGTTTTCTTTGCTCGGAGAAAATTTCCGCTCTTTCCCTGCCAATGTACTAGCTTTCTCGGGACGGTTGGTGCCGTGCAATCCTAACTTTTTCTATAGATTGCATTTTTGACGAGAGGAAACGCACAAACTGAAGCGATCTTCAGTGAGAACCAGATCTTTCTTAGGATCCCTATCGTTCCTTCAAAACGCGTTTTGTGGACAACTTTTCACGGACATACATTTCATGGACACATGGTTCGTCGACGCTGTACGTTTTGTGGGCACATGCCCCTGTGACGTTTTGTCGACGACGCATTTCTTCACTAAGCCGCTAAAAGCTAGCGCGCGATTCACTAAGGCGTGCTTAACCATGCCCCCCTCCCCCCTGTAATCCAGGCGAGATGCAAAAAGTTTTTTTTACGAAAATAGCAGGGTTCTGTGCGACAAAAAGTCTCAGGTTTTTCGATGAAACAAACACGAGAAGCCTTTCTATCAAACATCACACGTCGACGAAACAATCTGTAGATGAAACGTCAGTGGACGAACTGAATGCCACCGGACAAATATTCAGATCCGTATCCGCAGATATTCGCACCCGCAGTCCCTGACATCTGCATCCGATCCGCAATCCACCAAAATTTGTATAATTTTTATCCGCATCCGCCCGTTTACTGCGGATATCCGCAGATATGCAGGGCTCTAGTTATACTTTAGCTTTACACTATCGCATTCCTCTTTTTTGGGAGACATTTTTTTTTATTTAGCTCTAACTTCATGTGCATTGTGCATAAAATGGCACTTGGGAAGGGAGGACTGCACTCTTGCTATTGACTCAAACAGATGGCAAACCTGTCTTTCCTTTTTTTCGTTCATGTGCTTATTTTTAAGGAGCAGGGTGGTGGCAAGGTTTTTGTACCTTAGCAGGTAATTTATCTTTTAAGTGCCTCAACTCTAGACGCAAAAAACATTTAATATTGTGAAGCACGGTAGAAAAAGAGGCGGGTGTCTGCATGAGACCAGGCAAGGTGGCAAACGTTTGTTCCGGCTTTGTGCATCTCTAAGCGGAGCTCTGTCAGCATAGAGGTCTCTGTACGAGGGCATGTATGCTACGTTCTGGGTCTTGTGAACGTGTGCACAAAGAAAAAGCCAGTTCCCACTGCACCATTTGCTCACACTGCATTATGTTACGGGGCATTAAGTCTGCTCACGTCAAGAGCCTGTTGGGCTCTGGGCTTCGTATGAATGCGTGGCAACCAGTTCAAGAAATAAATAGCCTTGCACGCGACATTCGAGGCATGGATCTTCCGGCGACTTATAATGAAATGCAAGAGAGTAAACATGCTGCTGCATGAATAGGCCTTGAGGATTGTTCCTCGAGCAACTCTTGTCGACCTCCTACTTCCCCGTATGTGTTGCACCATCTCACGGCGTTTGTGAGAGCAAACCTTCGCCACATTTGTTCCGTGCCAAGGCGGCACCGTTCAGACACTTCCCTCTTCTTTTACCGTGCCCTAAAGTGTCCAACCCTCCGTCGTGACAAAGCCCGGCTTCTGCTCGCCCGCCGCAGGACTATGTTCCGACGAACCAGGACATCCTGCACGCACGCAAGGCCACCAAGGGCATCACGGAGTTTGTGATCCCGGTGAACGGCATCCCCTTCCGCTTCGTGGACGTGGGCGGACAGCGGTCGCAGCGCCAGAAGTGGTTCCGCTGCTTCGACAGCGTCACCTCCATCCTCTTCCTTGTGTCCTCCAGCGAGTTCGACCAGGTGGGACCCTCTGCTTTTTATTTGCCTTTGTTGAAGTTCTCTGATACTGCGATGCCTGCAACACACCACCGACTGGTGTGTGTACTGCGTCCTAAAACGTGGCTTCCACCTGATAACGTTGTAGGAGTGTCATGCTGTCACCGGCTGCTATTCTGGTGGTGTCACTTCAGCGGTGGTGGATGTGGGAGATGCCTGCTCTTCTGCAGGTCACTCTCTAGATTGACTTTCTATGTAAGCTTTGCCAGTCAGTAGTTGACATGCCGTGATGACAGCAATGCTCGAGTTTGCTCATACTTTTATGCTGGGGCTTCTAGCTCCAGCCGCTAGGATTATGACATAAGCCAATCTGACACGCCGGCTTCTGCGACGCCATTTGTTGCCGCTTCGGTACCACTTTTGACTCGAGGTTAGAATAGGACACGCATAACACCAGTTGAAAGCGCGTTCCACGCACCATAGCATGCGTCTTCAGCTAGTTTCCTAAGCATCCTGTTCTGGCCATGCATCAAGAGTGTCCCCAAAGTGGCAACAAAGGGTGTCCATTTGTGACTGCTTAAGTCTTCGTGGACGGTAAAAATTGAGAGTGACCTGCACCGGAGCAGGTGCGTGCCATATCTGCCTTTCTTGCCGCACCACCATCAGGATGGCAGCGGACAAAGCGTGACGTCACCCGAGGGAAATTAGGGGACGACAAGTGAGGATGCAGTAAACACACCAGTTAGAGTCATGTACCAGGCACCTTAGTAGCAAGCTTGTTAAAATGGCACTGACAGGATATTTATGCTTGCTGAGGTTTTCAGTTGTACATGGCATATGAGAGCCCAACTACCCAGAACAAAATTTGCAGCCTAAAATCTGTTTTTTTTTTTCCGCCCGAAAACCGTCGATCGAGAACTGGTTGCTTTGAGTCTCTCTCACTCTCTTCTCCATGGTTATGTGCCGTTTTCTGAGGTTTAGGCACAACCACCAAACTTAAAGTCGTGGGTCATTAAAGGCACACATCAATATTACAAATAGAAAAAAAAATGATGAAGCCCATATTTTGTGGCTTCCAAAAAACTGCAGATACGTTGATTGAAACAAAAAAAAAAGAAAAAGGGTTGTACAGAGAATTAAAAGCATTCTGGGCCTTTACTGCATAATTCTCAATATGGCGTTGTATCGCGTATCATGGGACTCACAGACTGGACTGTGATGGTGGCGAACGATGGGCGTGGGACCTCTACTTCAAAACTGTCATTAGCAATACCGGCAATTTTGTCTCCCAGCGAAAGAGAAATTTTGCACCGATCAGAACAAGTAGGATTCATTCTGTACGACATGTTCGACCACCAAGCCGATTTCCACAAAGACGTTGCTCGGGCAGTTGTCCCCTGTGGTGTCTCGCATAAAACGATCTGTCAAAACAATAATTTAATATTGTAGAGTAGCTCAGTGGAAAGGTGTCTGCTTCAGATGCAGCGGACCCAAGTTCAATCCCAAAAGGGGCAAAACCTCTTTTTTTTGTGCGTGTGTATTTTGCGATTTTTACATTTCTTTTTTACAATTATCATTGAAAGAAGAAAAAAAAAATGTTGTGGACGAAATGTAGTTGAGCTAAATGGTTTGGGACTCTCTTTTTGACCCCTGCGAATGTAATCACTTTCTGCAAAATGCAAGGAGCATATAAATCGGGTAGCGTTCGCTTTCCGTGGTGTCCGTAACTGTTCTACAGGAATTGCAGCCAGCCATTGGTCCTGATCCTGTTGATTTTTCGGAAACTTGTGCGGACCCTGGTGCGCATTGGCACTTTTTGATGCAGAACCTGCGAGGCAGCTCCCCACGCAACATCTTGGGGTCGTTCTTTTCGGTTCCAGTCGCGGGCATTCACCACTCATTTCCAACTCTTCAGAGTACAAAACAACTCAAAACTCGACTCAACAGCAAGCTGAACAAACATAACTGCGAAGCAATTGCACGGCAAACAATACCCGCAACACTGTAATCCTGTCCGCTGCGCGCAACCAAAAAAAAAAGAAAGAAAAAAGGTGCGGTTGGGTGTCGCTATGTGACTTTTGGCACTCTCTCCTCCTCTATATTTCTCCAACCTCCATGCTCTGGTTTTGGTTTTGGTTTTGAGCAGTTGCGTTTCTTGGCTTTATTAGAAATATACGTGACTCTGTAGCAAAATATTAATTGGGTAGTATTCCGACACCATATTGAATCGCCTGGAAAAAAATTTAAAGAATGTTTTGGGGGGTGTCAGTGTCCCTTTAAGCGAGAACCCTGCTTTCCTTGAAGCTGGACTCTTGACCTTGGTAGTTTCATTACACTTTAAGAGGTAAACAAACGTTCTAGCAGCATAAAGGCAATTATATGGGGTGTCCCCATTGAATCTCTTTGCCCTAAAACGACCTGGAAAAATCGGCGCCTGCCCATAGAAAACTCAAACTTCCACCGAATGCGCATGATGCAATGAATTTTAACTGATGAAATTTTAAGTCATGGCTTCTTTCCTCCGAAAAATAAATTAAACAAACTTGCCAGAGTCGACAGCAGACGGGCTTGCAGACATTGAGGATACCAATGCTTGTTACACGTTGGCACCGTCTCCTGACGGGGGCAGCGAGCGGACGGCACATTCTTTTTTCTGCTCCCTGCACCTATTGCAAGGCACTGCACCTGTCAAGCTTGTTGTCCTCATTTTTAGCAGTAAGAGAGCTATGCCTTAAAATCTTATCAGCTAAAATTCACCTCATCTGTGCACATTCGACCGAAGTATGAGCTTTCTTTGGGCAGGTGCCGATTTTTACAAATTGTTTTAGAGTGCGGATTTACCGACGACACCCTATACTCGATTACAACTGATTTGACTGAATTTTTATCTTATTGAAATCGTTTCATTCATGACTGGCACCCCGATATGAGCCATCTGCCTGTGCATGGCTCGAACATGCAGCTAAGCTGTTACGGTGGGCATTGCTACAGAAGTGAGCTCAACTGGGACCATTCCGCCACAACAGGTGCTGCTGGAGGACCGGTGCACAAACCGGGTGACGGAGTCACGCAGCATCTTCGACACAATCGTGAACAACCGCTGCTTCGCGGAGGTGTCCATCATTTTGTTCTTCAACAAGACAGACCTGCTTCAGGAGAAGCTGCAGGCACGGACCACAAGCATCGCGGACTACTTTGAGGACTTCCGGGGCGATCCCCACGACCTGCAGCAGGTGCAACGCTTCCTCGTGGACTGGTTCTACTCGGTGCGGCGCAACCGGCACAAGCCCCTGTTCCACCACTTCACGACGGCCGTGGACACCGAGAACATCAAGGTGGTGTTCAACGCAGTGCGGGACACCATCCTCCAAAAGAACATCACACAGCTCATGCTTCAGTGAGGCGCAGAAAGTGTAAGAGTGGGGTGGCTGTGTCGGCACATTGCGCGCTTCATGGCTGCCTTGCGGGCATCTCTTCGGATTCTGGGAGGCACTGAAGCCAACTTCAGAGGCCCGGTACCTTCCTCTAGAACAGTCGCAGAAACCCCCGGTTTCCTGGGGCTCAGGCTGGTTCTCTCTCGGTGCCTCTGCTGGAGCAACGAAGCCGGCTTGGAGGAGGACTCCGCATTGTGGCACGAAGCTTCCGAGTGTTGGAAGGCTCAAGGTGCACTCTGGTAGCAAGTGGTCTCTCTGAAATGTCCAAGGTCACTCTTGTTACCTAGCAAGACGTCCCCAGCCTTTTCCGAAGCCTTTTACTTCGGGCCCCCGCAGAAATGTCGCGAGCGGTTATAAAAAGCACTCAATGCCGCAACTAGGGCCCGGCTGGGGCTCACAAACATTATCCTGGTAATGCTGAGGGTTCATCTGTCATTCGAGGGTTGTAGAATGCAGATGTGACCCATTGGGAACGATTGAGGGCTTTCTTCCGAAACTCGGAAGTGAGCCGAGACGTCTTTGGCAGTTTTTGGAGCCGTTTTCTGAACGTTGCAGACCGTTTGTCAAAGTGACCAGTAGATTGCGAAATGCGAACAGTGATGAGTGGTCTCCAAGACATATCTGACCACACTGAAGACAGTATGGTACAAAAATGTTTCGGCACCCTGTGTGCAGTTGTGCTTTCGCGCTATCACCCACGCCCAATAGGAGGTTTCTGCCGACAGGGGCGGCATGGTTTGTTCGCATTGTGGCTGGGATGCCGCGGGTCACATCCGTATTTGTCGGGGTGTTGCGGGACCAGTTAGTTACCCATATTGGGCAAGATTTTGTTGTGTTAAGGTTTTGTATTGTGCGAGCATGCAGGGAAGTGTCGGCGAACAATCGAGATGAATCGGAGTGTGGAACGCGTGCCTTTTACAGCAGCTCAGTATTAAGTGCTTGCAAAATGGATTGTTTTGTTCGTGTGCTCCAGTGTCTGCTTTTGGGCAGCTTTTTGCTCTTGTGATCTCCTTCCTATGCAGCTGTGTAGTGGGGGTGCACTGTGTCGAATGATTTCACGTGTCAACGAGTTTTTGCTTCTCCCTGAGCCATTTGAGGAATCCTTTTTTGTTTGGGGCATTTCCATTTAATACCTGTTTTTTACAATTTTTTTTAGCTTACCTCACTACTATTTTTATTCTGTTATATTTCATTTCATAGCTTGGTTTTACTGACCATTTTGGGGCGAGTGGCGAGGAAAACTGCCAGCCCGCGAGGCTAGTACAAAGGTAAATGGGTCACACGTTCATTTTAACAGCTGTACTAGCCCTTTTTTTAGTTCTATAAAGTTGTATATTTTGTGCTGATCAAGTTTACATAAATTATTTTGAGTGCATATTCTGGTGTACAACATTGAAATTTCTGCCCTCTGCTCAGTTCCATGCCAGTGCTGTCACCTGCCGTTTAAATTTCAGTGGAAAAATGAAAGAACTGTTAAAGCTACGATTATTTTTCAGTATTTTACGATTGAATTATCCTTCTAGTCGTCAATGTGCAGCTGTAGCGTGTCTCTGCGTAGTGAAAACAGCCATGGGGCAAAGTATCCTCCGAAGCAGACGACACATAATGTGTTTTCGAATGTGTCTGCTCGCCCCTCTCTGCCGCCCAATTTATGGCCTGCAAAGATGTGGCAACGGTGTGCAAGTCTGAGGCCGTGTATTAAGTGTGTGCAAATAGTGACTTGAATGAAACTACATTGAGTTAAATGTGACTTCTTTTTCACATCATAAACTGTCAGTTAAGAAACGTGCATCCATGGTTTTCACACCCCACAAACATCCACAACACATCGCCAACAATTTAGGCTATCGGATTGGTGTGCTAGCAGTTTCACGACTTGTCATTACTTAGTGTAGCTTGATGTTACTTGGCATTTTCTGGTTTGAAAGATAAAAGCTATTTTCGGAACTGGTGAGTCAGAAAACGACGTCAATTTTTTTTGCAATAGATCCTCTTTGCCCCTGTACATTCCGTGGCTTTTTTGACCACAGTTTTCTCATTTAATATTTGGGAAAATCGATTTTAATGTTCATTTCTAAAACTGTGTTATCTTTCAACCGAGCCACTAGCACCATATCCTAGTGCAGGTTGGGCTTTCGGCAGTTTTGTAAATTCTTGCGGTGCAGAAAACATGGTTCACTTTTCTTCGACGGCACGGACTTCAGAGCTCAAAACAGACTGCAAATCTTGATAATTGGATGTGGGGAGCTGGAATTTGTCTCTAATGTGTGTTTTGGTGACAAAGCAAAACACAGATTGAAACTTTATTATTGCAGTTAAATTGGTCAAGTATGCTTTCGAAAAAATATTCCAGCTTGATGCGTGTAGTCCAGAACTATACAGATCTATGTACAGACTACGCAAATTCTTGCAGTCCTTTTTTCTTGTTTTGTACTTTTTGTCAAGGGATGTACCTTGTACACCCTTCGAATAATGTGGCGCTATTAGATTTGCACTACCATTACCACACCTCCTGTGTAAATACTAGATGTCTAAATAACATAGTAGTCTTTTTTACCTAATGTCTCTATGTTTTGACGGGTGTTTTTTTTTTCCTAGGCTGCTTTCTTGTTCGGTACATTTTGATGTGGGCCCTGTTAAACTGTTGCGTCGACATGATCCTGTGATTGGGCATTTTGAACATGTTACCTGTGTCACAAAGCATAGATTATCGGTAACTCTTCTCGTCCCTTGTGTCACCGGTGGTCGTTTTATTTGTTGACCTGTCCTAATTTTTGGTGTAGATGTTGTACCGTTGGTAACCATGTTTCTTTTGCTTATTCGTTATCTTTGCCAAAAATTGTTGGCATGGCTGCTTTCGTTTCAGGTGCATCGTTTCTCGTCTTTCCAGTTTTATCTCCAGTTTTGCAAACTAGCACAGAACATAAGTGGTGACAAAACACCTGTGGATAACTCGTATACTAGAGTGTATGCAAATACATTTACGAAGCTAAAGGAACCACTTCGTCTACTTCAAACTGCCAGAGTAGTTGGGAGATTCTCCGTGCCTTAGGGAGGGGCTGCTTGTAAAAAGGGGTGGTTGTAAATAGTCTGAGATGTTAAAAAGAGAAAAGAAACTTTATCTATCTTGAAGGTGACCTGCCAAATTTTTTTTAACTTCGATAGTGTTTGTATTTTGAGTTCCCACAATAAAAGTTGTCACTAGAGCTTTTTGCAATCGTTGTGAGCAGCCCTATTACAGTAGGTAGTATGGTGGCCATCTTGAACAAGTCATTAGTTGAACCACCAGGGTGGCGTTGCGTGCTCATGTGAGCGAATGATATTAAAATCATCAGGTGGGCTAGCTGGCTACACATCTTGGTAAAATTAGTGCAAAGATTGTAGAAAGAAAGTAGAGACAAGATAAAGCCCTACTTACAACTGGCAAGTATTACTAAGTGAGATAAAGACAGAAGTACTGACAGCAGTGGTGTAGCTAGGCCTTCTGGCACCCAGTGCCCTTACGCCTTTTGTAGCACCCAGATCGCAACCAGTGAAGCGGGAGGGGAGGAGGAGGAAGAGGAGGATGAGGATTCCGGGCGCTGCCCGAGGTGGCATCACCCCACATGACTGGGACCCTGGAACCTGCAACCCACAGCCCCTGCCCCCCCCCCCCCCCTCCCCCCCCCCCCCCCGCCGTCGCTACACCACTGACTGACTGTTAAAGGGATACTACAACGAAATTTCAGCGCTCATTTTTTGGTGTATATGTGTTCAAAAAAGCAGCATCACATCGAACATACCAATATCTTGTTAAAAAAGTCACGAAAAGGAATTTTAAAACGAATTACACGATTAGCAAAGAGCACCTGGTGGATGTCGCTAACGCCTCGCTTGTAATGCCCGTCTAGGAACCTTGACAGCTAGTGACGGAGGTTGTCTCGCCTCCGGCCACGACGAGAGAAGAGGGGCAGGAGGAACTCCCCTCTTCCCGAGAATGCCTTTTGTGTGTCTCAGAAGTCGCTATTGTCCCCCTACAAGATTATAGAAGATTAACCCGTCACTCAAAATTCGTACAAAAGCAGCCGCTTCGATGGCCGGAACGACTAGGCCATCCTCTCGACGTCAGCCTCGCCGTAGCTTTGCTCGTCTTGAGACGACCTACGTCACGATTGCGTTGGATGTCACGTGGTCTCCGCTGGGCCTTCTCCAAGCGCTTGCCAGAGTGGGCCGTTTATAACGAAAAATACAGCCACCAGGCTCAAAATACAAACTTGCGATTGTCATTTACGGATATTGTGGATCATATTCAACCTATTTTTGAACACGACGGGAATATTTCAAATTTCGTTGAAGTATCCCTTTAAAGGAGGAAGAGACATGAATAAAAATGCCTGGAAAATTGTGAGTAGAAGAAGGGGCAGGATACAGAGAACTAAAGATAAAAAGGAAAGAAGAAAAAAGAAGGTGTAAGCTTGATCGCTGGTTTACACGTCTGCGTCAGTCGCACCCACACTGTCCAAAATGACAGCGACCTCCTGGACACCAGAAAAACCATGGTTCATGTTCTGAATGTCAAACACTTTTCTCAGTGACCATGTCACATTTCTTTACACTCTGTCGCCTGGGCCGCACCCAACACGCTGCCGAACTCAGACCTCAAGGGCACAGATCGTAATATTGACATTCTTTTTCCAATAGGGCCACTGGCGGTGCACTAATGCATACACCTCTTTTTTTCATAATCTTGAGTGCCTCATAGATTTCTTTACTTTTTTTTTCCCCGAAACTCTCCTAGACTTTTCTGCAGTTGAACAATGGACTGCATTGGCAATCTCGAACGTGCACCGCTAGATGTCCCGCAGGTAAAGCCTTCCGTGCGGAGTCATGCTCTCTTAATCCAGCGTTGATGCAGCGACCCGACTGCCTGATATAATCTTTCCACATGAAAATTCATAGACTACTCGGCACATTGATACTTTAGGCCCATGTTGTTGTAAAAAAAAAACTATCTTCAAACTCCGGTCTAAAAACATGCTTTTCGTGCAAGGCTCGTCAAATTATGAGGCGCTGGAGAAATGCAGCCTTCTGCGTTAAGTCCTTATTTCGAACTCTTTGTTCGCCTTCCCCCCACTGAAAAACATGCGGGAAGGGCCTTAGAACACACCTAGTATCGCTGCGCCGCAGCGTTCTTCCGCAACATAAAGTTTGTCTGCTTTCCTCGCCGTCACCATGGCAACGAACGCCGAATGAATAGAAGCACGCACGGCACCGCCGCGTGAAGCCAGCAACAGCTGACGCCATTTTACGAACGCCGTCTGCTATACTTCGTTTCACCTTATGATGTACCGCAGCGAAGGCTAGAAGCGCGAGTTAAGCCACGAGAGCTTGTGCCGCCGAGATGTGCCCCAGAGCAAGGAGCTCGCGCTTGTAGCCTTTCCTGCGATACATCATAAGGTTAAACAGAGCAGGGATTTCCCTAGACCCCCCTAGGGGGGGTTGAGACCCCCCCTAGTTTTCCTGCAATCTAAAAAAGGAAAAAATAAAAATAAAATTCTCTTTTTCAGATTAAGTAGAAAACAGCACCTCTCAGGTGTATTAGCCCCAAGAGCGAACACAAGCGTCGCTGCGGTCGCCGCGCCCTGATTGGGTGAGATGTACCGTGACGTCAGGGGGAGTACTCCGCTCCGCGATCTCGCATCGGCTCGCTTCCCAGCACCGGTTTCCTGGTTTGGCGTTGTGTGCCGCAAGCTCTTCGAGGAGCTGGACTTCGTTTACCTGGTGTACAAGACGTTGAGTTAGGCCGATATTGACGCGCTTCTGTACATTTTATTAGCCTGCTTGTCCCTTTTACCTTTAAAATTGGGTTACAAATCCCGAAAGCTATCGGAGGAGGCAATGGACCTTTTCCGAGAAGCGTTCTGCGCACGCGCGAGCGCCCGATGCCAAGCGGTGGAAGTCGGCACGAAAAATCGAAGAAATTCGGAATGAGGCTGTAGATCGGCGAGTAGAACACGTAACTGCAGCATATATATAATTGTGTTACACAAAAAAAGAAAGTGGACGGAAAGAAAAACACGACGTTTGGGTGGATGCTACGGATTTCCCTCTTTAAAGTCGCGTTGGGCACGCGACGCTACTCGGAGAGCGAAGCAACTGGTATCGTTGCTCCCAATATCGATTGGTAGCGCAGGTAGGTCACTTCCTCGATTTTTAGCTCGTGCAGCCACCGCCTGGTGCCGTCGGTATTTGGAAAAGGTCCATTCCACCGATGAACCTTGTGGGGACCCTCTCCCTGGCTCCTCCGCTCTCCGTGACCTTGCCGCTCCCTGCCGCCGTACTGTCGGGCGCTCCTTCGTTCCCCGTGACCTTCCCGTTTCCCGTCGCCGTCCTGTCGCGGAACGTCCGAGCTCTCCGGGAGGAACGGGGCAAGCGCCCCCTCACCCAGCGCTGACGTCGGAGGATCGGCTCGCAGCAAGGTTCCCGATTGGACGGTCGGCGGGACAAGGAGTTGGGAAGGTCTTAAGAGGGGAACGGAGACAAAGGAAGAGGGCTGGGGCTGCCGACTTCACAAGGGACCGGTCATGGAGGCGAGCTCGGACGGCGCCGGACGCTGGCGCAGGGAGTGCGGGCACTACGTCGAGTGGCGGACTCGACCAGCGGACCGGACAGCGACCCTGGACGACGATGTTCCCATGACGCGGTGTGGACGACCACCGCTGGGACTCGGAGAAGCTGCTGTGGCAGCGGGCTCTCCCCCGGCCTCGCTGATGACCGTCCCCCGATCCCGAAACCCCCCAAGGCAATGAGTGAGTGAATAAACCCTTTTGCCGAGAGCGAAGCATTGAAGTGTCATATTCATCTGGAGACAGGGTTTGTGGGAATCGGAGTTGGAAGATGCCCGCATAAACTGGCGCCGCAACGTGGGGGCTGATTTTTTATCAGGCAGGCATTCCGATTTCTAACCTGTTTCCGGTTGAATTAGGGCACTGTTTCGCGCTCTTTTTGGGGGTCATCTTTGTCGCGTGAGCGCCGCACGAAGTTTCGTTGCGGGAGCGCCGCACGGAGGCCCTGACATTATCGCCTGTCTGACTAGGAGGCGCGGATTTTGACCGCTGTTTTAAGGGATTAACCCTTTTGCCCAGCCTGTCAGGAATTTACTTATCCCCCGTTACGAGAAGCGCCATGAGTATTTGCTGTCCAGCGCACCGTTGGATGCTGGCAGGTTGATCCTGCTACGCAAGAGCGCTGTGTGCGTCAAAATTACCGCACCCCTCGAGGCATGTAGCGTCGGGCGTCACCCCACCTACGCCTCCGGCCGTCCACGTCTGCTGGGATAGATGCCGGCTCACGCTTTGGGGGATGTGACGCGCCTAACCGCCTTTGCTCGCGTATCGATGCAATGGTTTGTAACGCTTGTTACTGATCGGACGCGTTAAAGAGGCATCGCTCTGGGTGGACAACGCTCCCATTCCGGATGGCGGTTGCATGGACTGTGTTTGGAAATTATTCCCGCATTGCATTTTGTCCGGGAGGAGCCTAGCGTTTCGGTTTGATCGCATGCTAGCTCCCAGTTGGCCTTGCTTGAGCTGTCGGCGCGGTTTTGAGCGTCGTTAGTTGACAGCGTTTTAAGGTACGGATGCGCTCTTGTGGTTCCGACCATGATCGCTTTGAACGAGTACCTTCTGGCCAGAGGCTGCATTTAGGGGCTGAGCGCACTAAATCGTGCCGGGTACGCGATGTCCGGTGCGTGGACATAGGAATCCCGAAAACCACAGAGTTTCCGTTTTCACTTTACCAGTGGCTGTGCGTGTGTAATGCTCCGTGGAGTCAAGTCTGACGCGATGGGCATGACCCGTGCGTTTCTAGTCGTAGAGTCGTGAGGTTGATTCTGTTTAATTCTGTGCACAGTTTGTTCCGGATCCTCACACCGCCATATCGATGGTTGAGCCTCGCGGCGGGAGTTACTCTTTTATTTCGTTTTCTCCGTTTCCGGAGGAGCGGCGGCCAGCGCGCGCTTTGCGCTGCCGCCGGATACGGTTCTCAGCCGTGCTTTGGTTCGCGTTGGGACGCGAGGGCGTAGAGAGCGTAATTGGTCGTGCAAAGACCTGGGCTGGAGTGAAATTATAGATTTAGGGGAGAAAAGACAGCTGGTTGGAAAAGAGCTGGGCTCGTGCAGTGAAAACCTGCACGAGAGGGAGTGGCGGTCTTGCGATGCTGTGACGAG